AATAATTGTTTTTATATAAATTTAATCGATATTAGATCGTTTCGAACGATCACTTAACGTTCTCACTTAACGTTCAATATCTGCATTTACTAATTCGTATTATAGAACGAATGTGAATATCTAAATCTAATACGTCCAAAATCCGGAAGCTTTTATTGTATAAAATTACAATACAATTAGATATTATTTGATCAGAATCTAAATAGGAAATTTAATTCAGACCTGAATATATGTCCAATGCTAAATGTGAATTAATGAATACAATAAAAAACTTTTTTCATAAGTTGTGTGATTAAAATCAGTATTCATGCGACAAAATTTCTCTTAATTTTAAACATATCTGTACATTTAATTGCGTTGTACAGAAAGATTTTGCTAAAGTATCTAAAAATTTAAGTAGATATATAGATCTAAAAATAATTTTTTGGACTATCCAAATATTATGTAGATAATTCAAACAATGCTGCAATAAATTTTCTAAAAGATATTCTAGCAATCAATTTAAACATCATACACAATTATTTTGATAGTCTAACAAAATTATTTTCAGATTTGTATGAAATTAAATTTTTAGATATTTTAGCAAAATCATTCTTTGTATTTTTCCAAGAGATATATTCAGGAGAAAACAGATTTTCCAAAAAAAAATTCATAAGAAAATTATTTTTACATACAAAAATTATTTAGAAAGGCGTAAAAATTATGATGTTCAAATTATGATGAATATGTAAGTTTTCCAATAATGACGCATTATTAATAAATAACTGACTAAACAATTTTACTATCAACACAAAATTAACGTCAATGATAATTGCCTGTTTGATATTCGCGTAAATTACTCTTACAGTTCTTACCCGTATATAGTAGTATGTTTAAGTTTACGAATTACGTAATCACATATTTGTAGCAATCTCTTAAGCATTATCTCTTAAGCATTTACGTCTCAATTTATGTAAATAGTAATAATTTCAATACAAACGATACTTAAACATATCGAACTAAAATAAATTTAACTGAATTTAATAAGCAATAGGAAAATATGTACGTAAAAAAATCAAATGAGAAATGTCTGTAATATAAAGAAATATTTTCGCATCAAAAGTTGCAAAGTTGTTTCACAGAACGTAATTATATATTTTTTTCTTATAAATGTACGGGGGATATTTACATAACCATTACGTTACCAGCGTTCGTTGTTAATTGCTCAAGCATTATTTACGCTCATCATTAACCGTCCAATAAAATGATTGAGACTATCTCTCTTAAAACTACTTCTGTTCTACTTTGACTTTTAAATATCTCGGCGAAATAACATAAAATAAATATATATCGATCTTATTTTCCAAGTAATTGGAGAACTTACGTGGAACAACTTTCTAAGTTTTATAGTTAGTATTAAAAGCAAAATATATCAAATTAGTTTTGTAAAGTCATTTTGCAATCTATATTAAAATACATACATGTAAAATAAGTTTACCTCTTATATTTTGAGTTATACTACAACATAAAAGTTCATCGAACTTGAACAGATAATTGCGAACACTTCCGTAAAGATAAACAAAGTTAAAAAATCACATGCCATTACTCGATAGCTTAAGTGCATAATGTTGATTTTTCTTTATATATGTATATATGTAAGGAATATATGTAAGAAATATGCGTCAAGAAATTCAATTATTTAAATAAGAATACATTATATCATATATATTTATAATAATTATTATAAATATTCTGATGCATTTTCGACAAAGAATCTATTTTCCTTTATTTTGCATAGAGTCTATAAATAAAATTACGATATCAAATTTTTAAAATATTTGCACAAATGTTGAAGGTATAAGGAGATTTGTAAACATCTCAAGGCAGAACAGGTATATAATCACTCCAGTTAATAACAATCTTCTTAGAAAGACCCGTTGCTTTTCCTGTTGATTCCATATTGTCAATTGTAATTATGCAGGAAAGAAATAAATGGTGAAAGCTTTTCCCATGCGGGATATCTTGAACAAACATAGTCGAAGAATAACAGTTTGCATTGATAGTCTCACATAAAAAGGCATCGCAATATGTAAACAATATAAGAATAAAAATTGATCTGCAGGCGAAAGTATTTTCTAAATATCATAGAATAATTTTTATTCTCGACGCGTTGCGACGATGGAGAAACGATCATGTATGAGAGAAAATAGGCTCGTAAAAAGAAATCCCAATCAGAGAAATCAAACAGATTACTATAATATGCAGTATCGAAATAGTTGATAAAAAATATAAAATAACTAAATGTACTTGACTAAATCTTTTTTTTCATATAATTACGAATTTGCTTAGAATAAGTTTTTATATTTTATAGTTAATATTTAAAAGCAAATGTGTATCAAGTTAGTTTTAAAAAGTCCGTAATTTCCATTAAAATATGTATAAAATAAGTATATTTCTTATATTTTTAACTATCCTATGACATGAAAGTTTGTCAAACAGTTCGAATCGAGTTCGAACAGAAAACACTTTGTTTTTATTCACTTTGTACGAAACTGAAACTCTTCGCAAAAACAGTTACTATTTATTTTCTGTTTTCATCGTGTGATATTATTAGCGATCTATTTATTATTTAATTTGTCTTCAAGCAGCAATTCTCATAACGTTTACGGATTTTCTCGGAACTATCACATTTCATAAAGATGAGCAGTTATTTACTTACCCTCCATGACGAAGACAGTAGAGCCGACATCTCCTTCTTGTATAATTATCGAACCGGCTGGAAATGTAACAGGATACATGCAATCGACAATCTCCCGGATTTGCGTAAGTTCCAAATTTTTCATAAAATCGTTGTCCAGTATGGCAGTTTTGATCAGCTCGCGAGATCTTGAAGAAAAAAAGAAAATCGTTGTTAAATTTTTTTCTCTCTTTCTCTCTCTCTCTCATTTCTCCTCTCAGTTAATCTCTTTCGTATTAAAAGAAATAATATTCCTATAGAAAAGCGGAAGCATAAATAAATAATAACAAATATAATATTTTAAATGTATCTCAAAAATCTGTTTCAGAAACAGATTCTTTAACAAATTTAATTGTAACAAAAATTCTTAGGATGCAAAAGTCTAACAAAAGTATAATAATATAGCATTAAATTATTAATTACACAGAAAAAACCGGTTTTGTTGTAATATCTAAAAAAAAAGTAGATATATACAGATTTAAAAATAATTTTGTTGAATTATCAAAATAATTATGTAGGACATTCAAGCGCTAGAATGTCAAAACTTTTTGCAACATTGCTCATCATGCTTGAATTTCCATACATAATTATTTTAATTGGTTCAACAAAATTATTTTCAGATCCGTACCAATATAAATTTTAAACAATTTTAGCAAAATTGTTCTTGTGTAATCTCTAAAATGTAATACTAACTTCGATCTAAAAATATAAGTCAGTATTATAAAGAATACAATATAATGAAATTGATATCTTTGAATACTATAATTATTATTGAATATTGTAATTAAAGTTTGTTTGTAATCACAAAAAGAATTATTTAGGAGTGAAATTAACATGACACATTCTATTAATATAAAAAAAAAAATAACAATTCTAATTATTTACAATTTCTTATAAAAATAAAAAAGTTCCGCATTTTTTATACTAAAACCAAAATTAAAGCTATGGTATGCTAATTTTGATTTTTCTTTATAAAACTGCAGAACCTTTTTTATTATTGTAAGCATCTGTAGAGTTATAAAAACTGCTACTGGAACTGTCATTATTTTTTTTATATAATAAAATGCGTCTATATGGAATCATTCATGCGTAGTTACCACTTTCAGTAAAAT